GTGAGAGAAAAATATTGTTCGTTAGCTGAAAAAGTACGGCTTATAAGTCAAGTGAACAGGGCGAATATTAGCCATAGTCAACCCTCTGAGCTGCACCTGCACGCACATGGCCGGACAACTTACTTTATAGATAAGGGGTGTTTGGTTGCTCCTCATAAACTTTAGTTGTCGTCCCATCGGATGTTTGGATATATGCATAGAGTATTAAATGTATACTAATTACGAAAATAATTACATAGTTTGCGACTAATTTGCGAGACGAATCTTTTAAGCCTAATTAGTCCATGATTTAACAATGTGGTGCTACAGTAAACATGTGTTAAAGACAAATTAATTAGACTTAATAAATTCGTCTCGTAGAGTACTGCCAGATTCTGTAATTTATTTATTTATTTTTTGTATCTGAACACCCTATACAACATCCTCACATGACACCTTCTAAATTTTAGTCGATGGATCCGAACAGACCCTAAGAGCCTCTTTGGCAGGGCTCCTGCAGGGGCTTCAGCTCCAGCTCCTGCAGGAGCTGTGCCAAACGCATGTTTTGGAAAGGTCTCCGCATGGGGAGCCGATTAAGAGCCGGAGCCATTTTTTACCTACGCAGAAGAAGCCTAAAAACGAGCTTCGCGCGGCTCCTTGCCGTGGGTTCACGTCGCCTAGTACAAAAAAAACCGTTTTACTAAATATCTTTTAGAACGGCTTCTGCTCCTCTAGATAAGCTGCTCTGCAGAGGCGCCAGAGCCGTACGCCCTAAGTTTACATATACAACAACACACGAGCACTCATCGTCTCTCCTCGTGCTGGCATTTTAAACCCCGTACCAACCCAGCAATCCGGGAGGAGCCAGCTGCATGTGTCCTGCATATGCATGCACCGACGGCGCCATTGACCCCAGCGACTTGCACCACCGCATCCTATATACTAGGAGCCCTATACGTATGCTAGCTAGCTAGAAATACTAATCATTTGCACAAGGGTTAGTTTGTGTACTTTTTGTTCACTGTCAGACGACTAACTCCCTGGAAAAAAATCTCCAAGCGGACCATCCACATGCAGCACCGTACGTCCGCATGCTGTTGGTGCGGACGATCCCCACTCAATTTTTTCCCAGCTCCCTAGGGTTCGTTAGTTTAGGCGGGGGCAACGATTGTGAAGGGGGGCTATACTATACGGTGGGTTAGCGCCACGCCAAGCGGCCTGGACGGCGGCGGCGGCGTCGGCACGGCCGTTACGTCCGGCCGGGGCCCTGGCCGACGTCACCGCTCGCCGACGTACGCCACCCAGTACCGCTTTGGCCGGTAGCGCGCGCCCGCGCGGCGGCGAAATGGTTAGCCGTACGTCCTGCTCTGGCCTCTCCCTCGTCCTCGGGCGGTTTGTTTCGTGCCGTGCGCGCCCGACGCGACGTCGCGGCGGTCGATGACGCACGCCCGCCGGTGACGCGCGCAACGCGACGCATGGGCGCATGGCGTGCCCCCCGGCCCGTTGCTTCCGAGACCGTACCAGCGCGGGCGTGCGGGGTGCCGGCCTCTTCCGAGTCTTGCTCCGCTCGCGCTTGGGCGCTTGGCGAGGCAGGCACGCACGCACGCCGCTTCGGTCCCGTTACGTCGACGCGGCGCGTCGCGGGGCAGGCGGGCCTGGCTGGCACGGTGGCGGCACCGACCGCTCCGGAGACGACGGAGGCATGACGCCATGCATCGCACGACGGCGTAGCCATGCCGTACAGCTTACAGCTTGCGGTGTACAGCTGCGCCGCACCAGAGGAAAAAGAAATTTGCTAGAGCGAGACTTTTCGTTGCTTTGTTCCCTTTTCATAATGGAAAAAAGGTGAGACTTTCCGTTGCGCCCTGGATCACTGATCAGCTCGGCTCGCGCCTTGGGATGATCCAATAAAAAAGAGCGTGGAACCAAACAGACCACACGCTCGCAGGCAAGGCACGCACTGTCGCACGCACAGAGAAAAAGGCGAGACAGACGTGTCTGATGTCTCTCTCTCTCTCTCTGTGACATGAGAGAGAGAGAGAGAGAGGGAAAGAGAGTGGGACGCGTCATGCATGCGTGCACCAATCCCAGCCTCTCGTTTCCGGCCTGCACCGCACCAGCAGGAAAGCAAGCCCGGCACCGTCAGTATCAGGGGCCTCATGGGGGTCGCCGACCGATCGATTACTGGCTGGCTGGCTGTGGTTGGTTCAGCCGCTCATGTAGTGCAGAGGAGGGTGGCGAATCCCATCCCTGCCCCCACCACCCGACCCGTATCCATCCGTGCGCGCCTTTCTTTCCACCGCGCTTCCGGATAGCGAGCGAGCGAGCATCAAGCATGCATCAAAAAAACCTTTGCTTGCTGCCGAAAACAGACTGCGCCGCGTTTGCGTAAAATGGTCACGGGCACGCAACTTGCTTGGTCCTCCTCCTGCTATGCTCGGTTATCCTCTGCTCACACAGCCAACCAACAAACATATACTCAGGTGACAAATGTGGGGGGAGGGAGGGTGGAGCCCACGAGAGATTAGGCTTGCTTTGAAGCCATACACTGCCCCGCCGCCGGCTCCCTTTTTCTTGTTGCAATGTCATTCCCGCTAAAAAGGTCTTCTTAACAAAGCTTCCCCACTTCCGCTTTTTTTCTCTCTCTCTCTCTCTTCGCTTCTTTTATTTGCTTCGTAGGAGTGGTGTGCCTTTTCACCCAAGGGCTTGGTGGTGGTGGTGGAACCGTTCTTTTATGATATTTTAATTTAACGTGCGTGCTATATTCGGCTACAAATGGATTGGAAAATAGCATAGGCTTGATAGACACCATGCCATCGGTCTAAAGGTTTGTTTTGATTTCACCTCTAAACTTTTGAACTAAAGCTCAAAAGAAGTGGTCTAAAATTAGCTCTAAACGTTAGCCCACCTCGCAATATAGCTTGAGAGCTCAAACGTGAGCTAAAGTGCTCTAAACCTTTTAGATGAGGGGATCCACACAGGACCTGAATCATTTGCCTTGTACACTCTTTGCGTAAACTATTTTTTGAATGGTTTCATGGTATCATTTTTCCCTATACCTCTAGCTAAGTACTCCGTTACTAGGATTTTTATGGTGCCTTATGGTCAACCATCGGCCACCCTTCATGCTGAAGACTGCAGACCGCCAGGGTAACCCAAAGTTTAAGGTTTATTTAACCTTTCTTTGGAGTTTACAAGTTAACTGATTGATCACGCGATTAAGGGTGACACTCGCGTCTATTTTCTTATCATATTTCTTACTCACTTACTCCTTTGTCCCTAAATATCTATCGTTTTCGCTTCCCGAGAAACAACTTAACTAAATATATATTAAAAATATTAATATTTATGGTCATAATTAGTATCATTGGAAAGATCTTTGAATCTAGTTTTTTTTTTAAAATTTACTTGGAGATACAAATGTTGCACGCATTTTCTATAAATCGAGTCAAACTTACGGCACGCAAACCAATGGCGACAATATTTAGAGACAGAGGGAGTAGTCAAAACAGAATGTAAATAGTGTTTCTGAAGATTTAGTCATTCTATCAACACTCATATTACCAAATAAGTTTATTGATTATAGAAGTATACTTCATGATTAACCTCATGATATTTATTACTCATCAGCGATAACTAGTGTTTTACTCTCTCTGTCTCTGAATAAATCAATTGCTGGATTTATCTTAAGTAAAAAAGAACCTTTTATGTTCGGTCGAATTTATAGAAAAAAATAGATCTATTTGTGACTCTAAATAAGCACATTACGCAAAATATAGTTTATGGTGTATCTGATGATACTGATTTGGTGTCATAAAATTTAGCGTTGTTTTGTATAAATTTGGTGAAACTAAAGAAGATTGACTTAATACAACTCTAGAAATTGATTTGATTAGTAACAAAGGGAGTATATACTTAAGATTAATTCACTCCTTGGGAAGCACGTACGGCCCCGTTTGGCTTGCTAAATTTTGGCTAAAACTGACTGAAAAACACTGTTCTTACTGAATTGTTGTGAGAGAAAAATACTATTCCGATTGAAAAAAGAAACCGAACCAGCCGGCTTCTGTATAAGCCGAACGGGACGTTTTTCCTTTAAGAAGACAGTGACGGACAGGATGCGCAGGTTCATACGCGTCCCCGTACCGAAAACGGATAGTAATTTCTTTCTTCCTTTCCTTCTTTGATCAAAAGACGGGCAGTAATAACACAGTAATTTCCACAAGCCCAATCATTTCTCAACCAACGGCTGACACGTGACACGGGAGCGACGTACGTAACGCCGTGGAGCTAGTAGTATCTCAACGCAGCGGAGACCCGACCTTTTTACGGCGAGGGCCGAGGGGCAAATCCGTCAGCTCGGCTCGGCCCCGTGCGCGCGGGCGGCCACATCGCATCGCCTCCCCAGTCCCCCACCTCTTCCGGTTGACGAGCAGTCGAGCAGGGCAGATCACCCAGAGCGAGCGAGCTGCGAGCAGAACGCAGCGGCGGGGGCGCGCTATTTATCGTTACCGAGGGCCGCCTCTTACCGAGTCCCCGTGCCGTCGCTCCCCAGCACCCCCACGCCGCCGTTCCCTCCTCCTCCTCCTCTCCGCCGCCTGCGGCCTGCCTCCAAACACCCGCGGACCCGCCTCGATCGCCTCGTTGTAGTGCTAGGGAGGGAGGGTGGGGCGGACCACTGCCTGCGGTGCCTCCTGAAATCGCCGCCGACAGCTTCTGCGGCCTCCTGGTGGATCCCGGCCCTCTGAGCTCAAATTAGGTATGTTCATGCCGTCTCCATGACTGAGGACTGAGGAGCTTCTTTTTCTTGTGCGATTTTTTTCTAGCTGAAGATGAGCAAGACCAAGTGATGTTTGCTTAAAAAGACACTGCCTCCATGGTGTTCGTTGCTAAAATTTAAATCTTTCTTCTTCTTCTGTTTTTGTATGAACAGAGCTGGTGGCCAAAAATTGATATGTTTTTCTCCTCTCTTTTTTTGTTCTTGTGGAGCAGGATCTGAACAGAAGCTGCCGGGCCAGCTGATGTACGGCTCGCCGGTGTCCAAGGACCTGAACCTCCCGGTGCAGCCGCCGATGACGTCGTCCGGGCTGCTACGCTACAGATCGGCGCCCAGCACGGTGCTCGGCGACCTCTGCGAGGACCTGCTCCCTCCGGCACCCGGCGCCGGGCCCCCGCGCGACGCCGGCGGCGCCGACAACGTCTTCTCCAGGTTCCTGGCCGACCACCACCACATCCGGGACGACAAGCCGTCGCCGCCACCGCCGCCGCCGACTGCCCACTTCCCGAGTGCGGCCGACATGGCCTCCCAGCAGCACCAGCATCAGCAAATGATGTTCCACTCCCAGTCCCAGTCCCAGCAGCAGCAGATGGTGGACGCTAATAAGTCCGGGGGGCTCTACCGCACCGTCAGCTCGGGCATGGAAGCCGCCGGCGCCGGCGCCGGCGTCGGCGCCGCCAGCAACCTGATTCGGCAGAGCAGCTCCCCCGCCGGGTTCCTGGATCATTTCAGCATGGACAACGGTTGGTTGGTCTCTCGCTCGCTCTCCTTAATCCGGCCTCCATTTGGAACTTCCTCGGTTGCCATTCCCTGCTTGCTTCCAGCAGCTTCTTCCATCGCGGCTGGGCAGCAATTATTGCAGTTCTTGCTTGGGGAATTTCGCTTCCCCCGAAACATTTCTATTTCCGGAAGTAACTGACACGGAGGGCCACCACCTCCGCCTGTTGCTGTCTTGCTCGATTCTTCTTCATCCAGGGTACGGGGCGATGCTGAGGGCGAGCATGGGCATGGGTTTCCGGGACGGCAGCGGCGGCGGCGCCGGTGGCGGCACGACGGATTCCCTCGCGGGCGGCGGCGCCGGTAGCGGCAGGCTCAAGGGGCAGCTGAGCTTCTCGTCGCGACAGGGGTCGCTGATGTCCCAGATCTCGGAGATGGACAGCGAGGAGGTCGGAGGGAGCAGCCCCGAGGCCGCTGGCGGCGGCAGGGGCGCCTACATCCCGGGGTACCCGATGAGCTCCGCCGGGTGGGACGACTCGTCGTCTGCGCTCGTGTCGGACAGCCTGTCCGGGATGAAACGCCCGCGGGACTCGTCGGAGCACGGCGGCCAGCAGCAGCAGCAGAACGGCGGGCTGGCGCACCAGTTCAGCCTGCCCAAGACGTCGTCGGAGATGGCGGCCATCGAGAAGTTCCTCCAGTTCCAGGACGCCGTGCCCTGCAAGATCCGCGCCAAGCGCGGGTGCGCCACGCACCCGCGCAGCATCGCCGAGCGGGTGAGCGAGCTTGCACCGACCCAAACACGTACTAGTATTTTCTTAAGAAATCTTCTAGCCTGCGGTTGAGCGATTCGCTGATGCCTCCTCCATCTTTTGACCGACCGGCCATTCAGGTGAGGAGGACAAAGATCAGCGAGCGAATCAGGAAGCTGCAGGAGCTCGTGCCCAACATGGACAAGGTACTGCTACTGCCCTGACCTGTCCCGCTATGCTCTGCACCCACCAATTTCTGCAGTAGGCGACAGAACAGTGTTCTTCTCTTCTGTTAGCAAATTCTGCTTGCCGCCATGCGAGTTGAGTTGCGAGGACCACTCCGGGCTGAACTGACCTACTTGCTTCCCGTTCCCTGCAGCAAACCAACACCTCCGACATGCTGGATTTGGCCGTCGACTACATCAAGGATCTCCAGAAGCAGGTCAAGGTACGAGCGAGCCAAGGAGCTCCGGTTTCCTCCTCCAAAACTCAAATCCAAATGATGCGATCGATGAACACTACGGCGGCCGGCAGACCTGTCGCCGTCGGCAGCCTTTTGGTCTCGTTGCAAGGTCAGCCAGTGACGTCCAAATCACGGAGGCTCATCGATCTGATCTTGCCCGGTGGCTGACGGCGAGGGTCACCTACAATTACAACGATCTGTCGTTGACTTTTCACCTAGCTCGAGTAGTATCTTATCCGGAACACACGCTGGCTGCAAACAATTACAGCATGGGTCGAGCTTACTGCCACCTGTATGTTAATCCGTGATCTGTTTGATGCATTGCAGGCGTTGAACGAGAGCCGCGCCAGCTGCACCTGCCCGGCGAGCAAGCACCAGCAGTTCTCCGGCTGAAGCACCGGCCGGCAGTCCCATCTCCGGCTTCGTACTACACTACTCTACACAGCGCAGCAAAGACCTGCTGGAGACCTGAGAGAGGAACAGGAACAGGATCGAGGGGTCGTGTAACCGTAGCTTCTTCTCTCCGTTCGCTGCGCGCTTGCGTGGTCTCTGGTCGAGTAGAGGAGCTCGACTGCTGAAGAGTGTGTGTGTGTGTGTGTGACTGAGCAAGCGAGCTTGTACAAGTGCCGGAGGCTGGACTGGAGCAGTGGCATCATCAAGTATTCAGGCAACTGGACTGGAGGGGGTGGTGAGACATGGGAAGAGGAAGAAACAATTGTATAGTACCGCTTTGTTTTTTGCTTCGCTGTAACACTTTTGCTACATATTTGTGCCATCATGCATGCCCATGCCCATTGTTACATTTACATAGGAAAACTTTACCACTGCTGTGTTTCTGTGAGATTTTACCAGCAGCAGTGGCCATAGGACGATTAGTTCAACTCAGCAGAGTCCAGCATCTTCAACAGATTACTTATGCTACATCCTAAAGTCTATACAGGTTGTCTCGTATTATTAGTAGCGTGACTTTTTCTTTTTCTCTCACACCAATACCTTTAAGCGTTTCACACCAAAATCAAAGGGATTAGAGCCCTTGATTTTGACGTGAAACGAGCAGGCCCTAAAGTGGATAGGGTTGATATAAAACGAATAGGCCCTAAGGCCTTGTTTCGATGGCACATGTATCCCCCTTAATCCATATTTGTAGAAGTGGATTGGAGTAGAAGTGTAGAACTTAAACTAATTTCCACTCCAATCTATCTAAACGCATGTGGATTGATGTGGATAGATGTGCATCCAAACAAGGCCTGAAGTGGATAGGGAGAGAGGGGATGGATCACCTATATTTGAGGGAGAGGCGGTGGATTTGAAGAAGTTACTTAGAATTTTTAGGTATTAAGAATAATTTTTTAGGTATCGAGAATAGTATGAATAATCTGTTTGAAAAACCACATTTCCTTATATTGCATATTTTTAGTATTAGGAATGAGATAAGTAATTTGTTGAAGATGCTTTAAGGCCCTTATCCTACTTTCGAAGGTTGGTGAAAAAAAATACCCACTCTAGCAGGGCACCTAACAGGTCATAGAAAATAGAACATTCTCAAATTCTCTCCTCAAACCCTTATTATCGGCCCTTTAGAGCATACCCATACTTTTCTGTTTCAACCATTTCTATTCATGCACCCGTTCAGAACTGCGCGTGCCCTAAGCAGTCGCACCACCGGCAGTGCAGACACGACTCACGTGAGGGAGGATCGCAAAACCTTAGTGGCAGTTGTGGAGCAGGAGTAGGGAGGGTGGCCATGAAGGTGGTGTTGGGAATGCAAGATGGGAGATAAAAAATAAAAAAAAAGAAATAATATGACTGACAAATATGTCTTATGAAAATAGGGACTCTAATTCTAGAGTTAAGCTCAAGTCTAAAATAACATGATATGCAAAAGTTAGGAAAAAGTCTTGAATTAAAAGTAAAAACATAATTTGACGGAACCATTTTAACACACCGACATCCGCAGCGACCACCTCACCGCGAATTATAAGTAGTGCGTTGCATTGACTTTGCTCCTTGGTTCACGGCCACGCTAGCTGAATGTGATGGACCATACTTGTACCTTGTACGCATACATACATGACGCGCGCAGGCTTGGTGAGAGACTTTCTATATATATATATAGACACACACACACAAAGTTCGTTTCCGTTTTATATCAATCAATTCAATAAAAAAAAGAGTTTGTTTTCGTCCTCTATAAGCTTTGATGTGCTCAGAGGTCGCCAATTCTCGTGCCACTTTAATTTCCATCGGTTTTGTCAAACGCACGGAAAGGGATCGAGCTCAGATAATTGAAAAAATAAAAAAAATAGTCTCGGTGCAGAGACCGGCGTGACATGAACGGATGGAGGCGAGGTTCTTTCGGCGGGAGTGCCTAATTTTTGCTACCCAACTTCCTTCGGAAGCTCGATTCCGTCTCCCATCTTTTTCAAACCGGACGACCGATCGAGTGGTCGAGTTCCTCGACTTTCGTTGGCGTCGTCAATCTATAGTCCTTCTTTTTTTTTTTTTTTGATAAAACGTCAATCTAGTCCTTTGGTCTTGACTTGCTTGTCCCCAGCCGAGGCAAAGCCCAAAGTCAGCTAGATTTTCACTTGTTCAACACAAGCCATGTGCAATCAAGTCAAAAGTCCAGGTTATGGCTCTCACTGACCTTTTTGAAGCTCAATGCCGTCGTTTGTCCACTCCTGCTGTACAACTGTCCAAGCACCAGCAGTCTAACACCAGCAAAACATCTTCTTTGTGTATAAAATGACTAGGAGAAATAAATCTAGCGCAAATATGACACGTGCACGCGGAAGAACTACCTAGGAATCCTAAGAGATCAGATCAGTAGATGATGAACCCGGCAAACATAATCCACACGGCATCATTAGCCAGTCCAAAAGACAAGGACAAGGGATGAAGTCATTCTCGATCCGGGGGAAGCTGGAGGACGACAATCATGGTCCCCAGCTTGCTCCAGAGTGCAGACGGACGGAACGGGCCTTGGAGGCCATGGTAGGCGCCTAGGCGGGCGCTGGTCGCGGCGCGCGGCCACAATCGGCCGTCGCCGTTATCTCCGGCCTTTTGCATTCGTGTCGTGTCGCCTCCCAGCGGCACCGCGATGGACTGGGCCGGGCCGTCGTCGTCGTCGTCGTCGACGCATGCAGCGAGATGGTGTGCATGGCACTGGAGTATGCCAGACCAGACGAGGACGAGGACAGCCGTCTGGGTGCTCGGTCGACGGAGCAAAAGCGCGGCGCGCGCAGGTGGTGGTACCGTGCATGTCAGGGACGACGCACCAGCCACGGCCCACACGGACCGGGCACGCACCACAGCCCAGCAGCAGCAGCATGGGGATCCGCATCCGCCGGGTCCCCATCGATCCGGCGATGGGACGCGAGAGGCTATCTATCGTGCCATCGGATCGGGCACAGGCACGCAACATGCATCATGCATGCATGGCCCGCCGCGCGCCGGCACTACGAAGCGCGCCATCAGCCACAGTGCGCTGCAGACTTCGCTTTGCTACGGCGCACCACCCATAGTTTTGCTCCGGACTACAGATGTGCACAGAGGGTTGCATTGGTAGCAGAAGCTGTACGTGTCCACCGTGCGGGGATCCCGATATTCCAAAAATTTTAGAAAACTTCCAATATGCACTAGTTTAACTAGTCCATCAGCGCGGGCTCCCAGACGGACTATTTTTGATATACTTAATCAATATAAATTCTTATTTAATACGTATTAAGCACTTGCTTCAATTAACTTGATTTAAATCTAGAGTTACACATATGTATAGAATTCGCTTTGTCATGATTGAGAGAGATCGTCGTGGCACAGCTAATGATGTCACATTAATTTGATTCCATCATTGGGTGTTTTATTTTCCTTCATTTTGTTTTGTATCCTAGTATGGCCGACTTTGAGCATTATATGGGTGTTAGCATTTCTTAACGTCGCTAGTTAAGTACAAGGTTTTCAATGTAATCTCGAGCAACAACGCCAGAAATGCTTGTTGGTACTTATGACTTGAAAGAATATATGAGTGAAAAGGATCGGTAAGCGCACAGATAATATATCATTGTAGCACTTCACCCGAAAGTATTCCAGGTATCGTTATTTATATTTTTACCACAGGGAAGGTCTGGCATGCACATGTATTAATAACTCATACTATTGATGGAGAAGTAAACCATAACCAATATTCTTACTCATAACACGGTAAGTCAAGAGGTAAATGTATATATGAATGGTGCATGATAACTAATTATTGATTACTCAGAGTACTCATTTCTATGGCATTAGCATGGTTAAATAGAATATCAGAGGAATAATTCCTAAGTTATTCTTAATTACAAGTCAAAGCATATATTGATTAGTGCAATTACACTTAATAATCCCGGTGCATCAGCGTCTCGCCGCAAACCGTGACGCACGCAACACCCTTGACGCTCGCAGGCGTACCCACGACGATCCGAGAGGGGGAGCTAGCCGCGGCTATCACCCTCGCCATGGCGGACGCTACGACAGCGGCGAGGACCGAAGCCCGAGCCCCGGCCTGCCGGGGCCTCAGGGCTTCGGCCGACACATCCTCAACACTGCCTTCCCACCAAGATACCGGCCACCAACCAACATCCCGAAGTACTCTGGGGAGACGAACCCCGAACTATGGCTCAAGGATTATCGGCTTGCCTGCCAAGCCGATGGTGCGATAATGATGATTTCATTATCCGCAACTTTCCACTGTTCTTAGCCGATTCGGCACGAACATGGTTGGAACATCAGCCATCCAACAGAATCCAGAGTTGGGCAGACCTGAAGGAAATCTTCGTGGAGAACTTTCAGGGAACATACAAGCGCCCTAGGAACCCATGGGACCTCAAAAACTGTCGACAGAAGGCCGGTGAGACCCTCCGTGGGTACATCCGATGTTTCTCCCATTAGTGCAACGAGCTGCCTAACGTCGCCGATGCCGACGTTATAGGAGCTTTCCTATCCGGGACCACCTACGAGTCCTTGGTTCACAAGCTGGGGCGCAAGGGCCCGTGGACCACCAAGGAACTCCTTGACATCGCCACCAGCCACACCTCGGGTGATGAAGCGGTCGGAGCGATCTTCGATCGCCTCAATGGCAAGGCGAGGCGGGACGAGGACGCCGACAAAAGCGCCTCCAACCGTCCCGCCAAAAAGAAGAACAAAAAGCAACGGCGCGAGGGCTCTCTCGTGGCCGCCACTGACCGCAGGATGGTCGGAAGCTCACGGAGGGCACTCCGAACCACTTTGAAAAACTACTCGAGGCCATGCCCAAACCATGCCTTCCCCGTCAAGCATCTGTACAAGGACTGCACCCTCATGAAGCGGTTCTTGTCCGGAGGCTCCAACAAAGGGAGGATGGGAAGGACCCCGACCCTACC